GTTTTTTTTTCTCATTGAGTTTATTGGTACATTTTAGGTATTTAGGTATACAGGACATTCATTATTGGGATTTTGTACCTTTACATGACAGGTCTTGGTTCTCATTTTGTGAATATTTTCTGCATAACTCACTTAGATATCACATCACATGTGCAGCAGTCCCTTGCTTCCATATTTTTCTCTTGCTAGATTATAGACTGCATGCATGGAAATTATGACTTTTTCACTTATTTCCTGGTTCAGAACCTTCCCAATATTTGATAATGGAAAATTCACAATGAATTTTTACAAGAAATTATGCCCACTGTTTCTAACTACTGCTCTTATATCAAATATATTAAGTGGGATAGTCAGGATTTGGTTTTGATATGCTTTTTATCCTAGAGACAACATCTAGCTTTTGCAAGAGTGAGGACAGTCTTGTCATAGATTTTGTTCTGTCCAGTCAATTAAGTGTTTGATTTTTCCAAGGAGTTTCAGAGAACTTTCTCTGGAAATTTTCAAATAGTTTTTCAAATCTTTATATGACAATGCATAACTGAAAGAAAATGAAAGGAAATCTTATTTAGCTTTATTCCAGAAAGTACTACATAACATGTATTATTCTACAGACTATTCTAAATGCTTCCAACACAAAATGCTTTGTTTAACCCCAATTTTGAAATATACTCTTGGAACTTACTTGTATTAATGGGTGTTGGTACCTCTTCTGCTAGTGGGTTTGGACAACAAGAAAGGGGAAGGTTTTGTTGGTGATGTTGTCCCGAAGGATCTGGCTTAGGAACACGATGCAAGGAGGATTATTGCTAAAATTACAGCCTATTCCCAAGGCAGGCTAGAGATCAATTACGGTTCCTTTCTGTTTTTCAGGAACCAGGGCTCTCCAACGTGGGGTATAGCATAGTAGTATTGTTCTCATAGTCTCCGTTTTGGAATGTTATTTTTTTACTCTTATTTATTCAAGAGTTGCTTTGTGGCACGACTTGTATCGACTGATGAAAGATTAAAATTCATCTTGTGAAAATTTTTATGATATGTTTTCCCAGAACTTAATATCCAGGTGTTAAGAACTCATGCCCACATATTTTAAGGAAAAAATGCACTCCCTTCGGTTTACTCTTTGAAATGCCAATGAAATATGCACTGTCTTCTTTACACTCTTGTAACTTAATTACCTTAGTTAACTGGTCAACTGAGTCCACTTCTAGACTGTTTTCTGAAGGAATCTGTGGCCACAGTGAAGGAAGAACATGATTTCAATATTTCCTAGTGAGGCACGAACCTGGCGGGACTGGACCGGACCCCTCAGGCCCCAGTTACTATACGGGAGCCTCAAGCCCTACCTGACGGCTTTGGAGAAGGAGTCTTTGGGAGGAAATGGAAAGGACGAGAGGGTGAGACTGGGGCCATGATGGCGTCAGTGCCCTCGCAAGAAGAAACCCTGCTGTCTCTTTCTCCTCCTCATCCCCCCTGTTCTTCGTCCTTGCCACGCAGGGGTCATCTGAGGATTCGGGGTGGCTCCTGCCTCCAACCTGAACCTACTTGTAACCAAATTGCACAGAAGCTTCGTCTTGGACATCTGACTTCCAGTACAGTGGAGAAATCGATCTGTACCCTTTCAGCTGCCTGGGCCATGACATTTTGTACAGCAGCCTGAGCTGGATAAGTGAGCGGTTTCTGTTGGGGGCCGGGGGAGCAGAACAAGCTTTAATGGGTGGGAAAGGAAGGGGAATGTGGAATTATTTTTTTTTGCAAAAATAATGGTGTGTGTGTTTCTATCAATGCAAGGAGGCAAGCTCTTAAATAAGCATTAAATAGATCACCACATATATCTTTTGAAGGATTCAACTGGCAAGAGAAAAAGAATCTCAATTTACACATAGTGAGAACAAGCATTTGACACAAACACCGTGAGACACTTATATTCCCAGGGATTGGACGGGATACCACAGTACTTCTATGGGCTGCCTTTCTTGTGGATGGTATCTGGCAGCAGCATACAATCACCTTATAAAGATACTCATGAAAGAGCCCCTGCAGAATTGCTTCAGAAAGTGAAAAGGACAACGGGATACGCTCATTTGAATTGAGTGGTAGTATTTTGAGAGCGGTTAACAGTAATGTGTCTTGTGTGATAATTTTTAAAACCTCACTATATATTCTATATATTTCAATCACACCCAGTGAAATAGTGTATCATTCAAATTTTCTTTCTAAAAGTAAGGACTTAATTATAGAGTGATTTAACAGTATTTTCCTTTCAGACAATGTTATAAAATCGGAGCAATGTTTTTACAAAGCCTTGCTTCATTCACTGCACAATATGCATGGAGGTTCATCTGCTCCTTTGCACTGGTCGATACTTCCTAGACTCTTATTGCTGAATAATAATCCATTGTAAGGATATATCATCACAATTCGTTGATCTTCTCATCTGTTGAAGGAACCCGGATGCTTTCAGTGTTTGTTAGTTATCGATAGAGTTGATATACACATCCCTTGTCTGGTTTTATGTAGCATCAACCGAATCAACTGGGTAAACATCTAGAAGAGTGACTGGTAAGGTGCAGCATGAGAACCTGTAGCTTGGATATAAGATACAGCCTGAATTGATTTGAATGTGAATTTAAAAAATTCTGTTTTGAACAGAAAATGACTTGAGTGGCTCTTCCTGTAAAGGTCAAAGCTGTAAGTCATCTGGGATGATAATGATATTTGAGGTCATCCACAGACAAGTAGGCCACCCGGGACTTAAATGAAGAACCCTAGACAACTAGCCACTGTGTACAGAAACAGCGTAGGCTTTTAGATCATGTGGTGCTCAGCATAACCTTCTGCTCCTGACCCTGCAGACACACAAAACTGTGCAAGTTTGGGCAGTGTAGATGCATTCAGAGTTCAGTGTTGCACTTAATAACACACAGTGTCCCTTTAAATTATTTCAGATGTTTGAGGAAAAAGAAAATTGTGACCCACAAACAAGGAAAAAATACTTGACAGAGTCCCTTTAAATTATTTCAGATGTTTGAGGAAAAAGAAAACTGTGACCCACAAACAAGGAAAAAATACTTGACAGAAACAATCTGAGAAGCCCAGAAGTCGCTCTTTCCAGACACAAACCTCAAAGAATTAAGAGAAGTCTGAAGTTAGTTATACCGACTGCAACTTTCCTAGGACTCTATATGGAAGGGTTACACTTGCTCATTGCATCTCAGTTGTTATGCCTGAAGATTTATTCGCTATACTTGAAGGGACTCTGCAGTGCCAAAACTCTTTCTAATGTAATACTTGAGTCTCACTTTTACTCCTGGAGCGTGAACAGCCAAGAGGCCTTCACGATGCTGGGCTCAGTAGCTCAGCGAGGCTCCAGGAGCTTGTCCGATAGAGAGAGTCACCCAGGAAGGAACACACCAGGCAAGTTGGCTAATAGACCTTTATTAGTCTGGCCAGACGGCACTCCCCAAGCCAAGTGGCTCAGAGAGGCGACTAGCTCAGAAACAGAGGCCACTTTATATAGGGCTGCAGGGGGGTTTACATATAAAACTTACGGAAAGAAGCGGTCGTTCTGACCTAGTGGTTATCAGGCACATACTTGACCGTCATGTACTTATGATTAGCAGATTGCTCATCCGCTGTTCCATTTACAACTTAAATTATAATGTTCAGAACATTCAGACTACAGGCATGCAAGGAGTGGCGCAATCCATGTTGGGTCTCTGTGTTCACTATAGTCTCCACCCAGCCTTCCAGCTACTTCAAAACAATTACCTAACAATTCACAATTAATCATTAGTTATCCTATAAGGGATGGGGGGAGCGACAGTCTCTAGGTCATTTGCTGGTCAACACGGAGTTGCTCTGGTTCAGTCAGGCTCTTACACTAAGTGAAATCAGTCTATGCATAGAGGTTATTCTTTGATATTTGCCATGACTATTTTTAAGATTCCGTGTCAACATATGCCAAAAAGTTATTGAAATGTAAATTTATTTACTGACTATACTCAGCCTTATGTGACAATTACAATATAGTCTGCCCAACTCTCAGTTTTAAAATGGCAAAATTGACCTAGGTGTAAATTCACTGATCAAGAACCCTCAGAAACAACAACAAAAAATTCATAAAAATAGTTCAGTAGTTCCTCTAAGGATATAAGGAACTGCCATTAATATGAATCATTAAGTGACTGATAGTATCTCAAAATGGAAAAATTATTTTTCACGTTAAAGAAGCTTGATACTTTAAGAACAAAGTCAAACTTTTAAAGAATGAGCGTATCTTCTTTATTGATATTTTGTATCTTACATTTAAAAAGTCTGATAACTGTAACACTGGCAATATTACAATAATTATCTTTGTCCTTTCGAGTTTGTAGACAATCGGAAGGGGAACGGTACACCTGTGACCTTCAAAGGTTTAATAACACTTAACTTTCAAAATATAAATGCAGTGGTTGTAACTTTTGTTTGTTCAAGCAATGTTTTAAAAAAGAGTTATGGAGTTTTCTTTTACAGATAATTTCAGTTGAATTTTGGTAATTTAACTGGAAGAGGATTTCACTCACTTATCAAGATTTACAGGTGCAGTGATACACTACCCTCAACTACACCCAGGAAGGAGCCGAAAAGAGAGCCATAAACTACAAAAAGACTGTATCATTTTTTCCATTTAAATTTATTTAAAGATGTTTATAATGTATGTCTTCCCTTGCTCCTGGATACTTTTCTTTCTGGCTGCTTCCTGGAACATTCCAGGAGAAAGTCTGATTAGCATTTTTTTCTGTTTCACCCTTCACAACACAAAGAACTTCAGTCTATTTTCATAATTTATCTCTTCCCAAATCCTTGCTCTTCAAGTTTGAATGTCATTATACATATAAGACAGCTGTATGACTTTTCTTATATTTATTTAATATAACTTTATTTATATAATATTTATATTATATTAATTTATAATTCATAGAAAATGCTACTCAACTGTCTTTATCTGTACAAATGTAAAATTACATTGGCTTACAGGAATGGCAGGGGTTGGTAACGAAGCTCTTTAAGGCAGCCTTCACGTCCTTGTTGCGCAGGCTGTAGATCATGGGGTTCAGCATAGGGATCACCAGGGTGTAAAACACAGAAGCCATTTTATCAGTGTCCAGGGAGTGGTTGGTCCCGGGCTGCAAATACATGAACAGCAATGTCCCGTAGAAAACTGTGACAGCCATCATATGCGACCCACAAGTAGAAAAGGCTTTCTTCCTCCCTTCTGAGGATGGCATCCTCAGAATAGACAGGACGATGTTGAAATAGGATAGTAGAACTATAGTCATGGAAAAAAACAAATTTGTTGCTGCAGATATAAAGACGACAGTTTGTGGAAAGTCAGTACCAGAGCAGGACAATGCTAAAAGAGGAACATTGTCACAGTAGAAGTGGTTGATGACATTGGAAGAGCAGTAAGACACAGAAAATACACAAGAAGAAACCAGGACAGCTGTGAAAAGGCCATAGAGATAGGTGAGGGACACCAGCAGCAGGCAGACCCGCCGAGACACCACCACCATGTAGAGCAGGGGGTTGCAGATGGCCACGTAGCGGTCGTAGGCCATCACGGCCAGCATGAAGATCTCAGCTACAATGAAAACCAGGAAGCCCCCCAGCTGGGTGGCGCAGGCGTAGTAGGAGATGGTTTTCTTCTGTGCTAAGAAGTTGCTCAGCATTTTCGGGGCGATGACGGTGGAGTTGCCAAAGTTGATGACAGCCAGATGTCGGAGGAAGAAGTACATGGGGGTCTGCAGTCGGGGGTCCACACTGGTGAGGGTGATGATGCCCAGGTTACCCACTGCGGTCACTACATAGATGTCCAGAAAGATGAAGAAAAGGGGGACCTGAAGCTCGGGGCAGTCTGAGACCCCTGTGAGGATGAACTCAGTGACCTGGGTCATGTTTCCAGGGGCCATGCAGGCACTGGAAATTCATCTGTTTAAGGAAAAAGAAAATAGTCATTACAAACTAATGTGTGACTTTTTGGTCTTTCCTTTAGAGGACAAGGCAATTTTTGGATAAGATTTTTTTTTTTTTTTTTTTAATGAAAAGACAGGAGTTGGTTTAAATCAAGGTACCTGTCAAGGGAGGAAGTGGGTGCATTTCCAAAGGAGCAATCACATAAATATGGTGTGAGATCAGGATTTTTATGAGAGTTTGAGGATATAGAAAGAGAGTCTGGGCCACAAATGTGATTATCTAAAGAGTATTTATGTTCCTGGATCTTCAAGAACTTGCAGACTTTCTGGCAGCCCTGGTGTGGAGATTAAAATTAGGACTGGACTTGCAAGGTCATTTGCTCTGCCCCATGGAAGGCTTTCAGGTTTAGATAAGGATACACCATGGAGGGCTGTGCATGTCTTTTAGAGAATTGTGATCAGGGCTTTTTGGGAGAAAAGGATGGACCCGTAACATCACAGATTTGTTTCTGTTTACTACAGTCAAGATATCTTTAACTGCAGTTCTCACAAACCACCATTTTCCGATATTATCTAGGCTTGATTATCAAAATCTTCTTCATTCGAAATGGTGTCTAATGGTCATTATATTGTCTTAATTATCCTTGTCTTTGACCCATGCCTTAGTAAGTGAACTCTTTCAAAATCCAGTGATTTTCATGGATACCTGCAACATCACCACACAAAACCATTGCATTTTTTTTTTATAGAAATTGAGAGATGATGCTCGGTGAGACAACTGGGAGCAGAGGCAAGTTGCTCCCTGCAAGATAAATGAAACAATGAATTGTAAACCAGATGTGAATGAGGGACAGGGAGAAATCAATAGAGACAGACTTCTAGGAGAATTTTCACACTTCAGTCAGAGTTCATGGCCTTTCTAAATTTTACGGAATATCATCTAAGATGAAGTCATAAAAGTGATATTTCAATATATGCTTTGGGTGTTTATGAAGTATTTATCAAACATTTAGAGAACACACTGTTATTCTCTAGAGCACACTGCTGTGGTCAGTCTTTCAGGTGACAGAGTAACTTCAGTATTAATCAGGAGAAAGAACTTTCACATCTGTTCCAGGATTTGCCTGTCTCTAACCAATATTTTACTGTTCTTAACTCGGTGCTCACATTTTCCACTAAGAACAAACCCTCTTAATTTAGAGGTTTGATTTTAAGGGAGAATACAAAGAAGATGAATTTAGTTTTGAACATTCTAGATTACATCAGTTGAAATAAGAGCAAGGAAGAAAATGTATTTTCTTTCTGGTTTTTATTCCTCCTTTGAAAATATCATAAAGTTTTAATCTTACCAAATCAGATATAGAGGCTTCAACAGGAAGTCCTGCCCCTCTTAGGCAAATGTCTGTCTTCAAGTGCAAGGCCATTTTTAAATATCTCATCCAAGGCCTTCTTCAGACATGTTCTCATAATATCTGGGCAGATATATTTTATAGTCACATACAGGGTTTATTGAAGTAAGAGATTATCTATTTAATGCATTTGCCAGAATGTCCTCAGATCTAATTTACAATTATCCCTGGAAGACACAATCTACAGTTATGTTAAGTAGGGGAGTCACTGCGAGTTTAGGTACTTGTGTATCTAGTTACATTTCAAAAGTACATTGGTGAAAGCATAGAATCTCCAGTCTAGATAATATCATGATGAGAAAGTTACTACACCAGTTGGCGTACTGATGAAGTCGTTCTCTGCTTCAGCAGTGATATTATTTAATACTAGGGCTCTACTGACAAACCTTATCTGCAGCCAGAAATAGCTGCATTGTACTTGATACCTGTATTCACATCAACAGTTAGAAATCGTATAAATGAATGTCAGTGCATGTACTGACTTATTTCATTATGCATTAATCATAACTTCCCCCATTTTAAGACATGGTTCACAGTGTTTAAAGGCTCTGATAGCGAATAGGATAAAATATCATCTACAAACCTCCAGTGGGGAATCCACTTGATTCTCAGTGGCAGCATCTGCACAGCTACACGGAGGGCTCTATAAACCTGGAGACCTGAACGCAGAAGCCCAGGTGTCTCCGGATCCTCACGTTTTCTGTTGCATCCCCTGGGAAGATGCTGCTGGGGACCAGTTCCTGAGCATGATCCTCTTCCAGGAATTCAACCACACACTCTCGAGGTCTCTCCACTTTGTAATTCCTAAGCTTTGTCCTCAACTTTCTTGTTCATGTCACAGAAACATTTTATGTATGATTAATATATATATGGTCTCACACAAGTGACAGTCATCTGTTTTTTCATTTTTTAAAAAATCATGACCGGTTCTTGACCAAAGATTTTAGTGATTACTTTTTCACTTACTTTATAGTGGAACTCCTTACAAATATGTGGTAATGGTAAATCAAATATTACTTTTTCAGAAGTACATATCAATATTTATGTCCATTGTTCATTAAAATGTTCTTATATCAAACATAGATGGCTTGGTTTGATGTGCTCAGTTCTCATCCTGGATGACATGACTTGCCTTTGGATAATCGATAGCCATCTTGAGGTAGATTTCAGACCAATCAATGAAGAACCTGACTTTGGAGATAGTATTATAGATTGTATATAGATAGGAGTTTTCAAAATTTTTTTTCATCAAATAAATGTTATACATTTGATGCACTAGTTTTATTTTAAGAAAGTGCCACCTAAAATAATATATTCTAGTGTCTACTGTGTGCTATTTGAGTTCAATTTCTAAAATGTTTATTGGACCACAGATAATTAAAAACTATCCTATGAACTTGCTTGGGTTGAAGGTCTTTTTATGTCTTCCACAAGTGGTTTGGTGCAGAGCAAACCATAGAGTTCTGTCAGTGACTTTGTCCCAAATATCTTACTTAGGATGACGACACAAGCAAGATTTTCATAAAGCTGCATGGGGATCCCAGGGAAACAAGAGATTAATTAATGTTGAACTCTGATTTTGCAGAATCACACATCACACTCTAGCTTTTTCATGGCATAATTGATGTGGTCGCTCCTTTGGAATGCTTTTTACTCATTCTTTTAAAAATTGTTTATATTGTTGTTCTTTAGTGACTTGGTCTGAATTTCTTTGAAAGAGAAAACATAAGATTTATCATGTGAAAATCCTTACAGTCTATTTTTAAAGAACTTAATATGCAGCCCCCAGGATGCTATTTCAGAGTACTTTAAGACATAATTTTGTATTTATTGTTTGCTCTTTCCTCTGTGTCTAAAGAGGAAGAACATGGTTTTGGTACTTTTGGGGGAAGCATGCATCTTTCTCGGACCTAATTATATCCAATCCAAAGTCCATATATCAAGCCTTCCCCCATGATAGCTGGAGGTTTGGAGACAGCAACTTTGAAATTATGGTTCAATGATGTCATGAAGATGAATCTCTCATGTGAAATCAAAGTCCTTATTTAAAAAAAAATACCAAAGACCAAAGTGTGCTCTCCCATTCTCTGTAGCTCCTGTTTCTCTGTGAGTTTCTCCTTCTTCCTCCACCACCACTGTGCTCTTTCTATTCAAAGAGAAAAGGAGAGAACCTGGGATCATCCAGTGACACTGAGGTCACCTAAAGATAATAAAAGAACTCTAACTAGTGGCTGAGTCAGAGATTTTGGCCGTGGTCTTTGACTCCAGAATTATGGGAAAATCAAATTCTATCACTGAAGCTGCCCAGTATATGGCAGCTACTATGGCATTTTGAATTGAATAAGATACCTTTGAGGAAGCAGAATAATTCTCTATAACAGAAAAACCATGGTGAAACATAGGCTGGAGAAAGAAAAGGATTCATGGGAGGATTTTTTTTCATTTTCCAAAGTTAGTGTATTTTTTCAACATTTTCCCAAAAACTTAGGAAGACCAGCGTTTAATCAAAGGTAGCCAAGAGCCATAAATATATCTTGTATAGGTCTCAAATGAGCAGGAGCCAAACTATTTAATGGTTTTCCATACTGCAGTGAAGAGTATGCAAGTGATAAGGTGAGGAAGGCTTCTGGCACAAACAGGGGAAGATTATCTTCCAGGAATTTTACCTTGGATGATCAATGAGCATTGATGATTAAAACAAATACAAAGGATAGCATTTTAAAGATTTCAGGCTGGGTACAAATTGTCGCACAAATGACAGTGCAAGCCCTGAATCCTGAAGCATTTAAATGAATCTCCTTTCTACCACCTCTGCCATCAAATTTGAGATCAGACAGCTGCCACAGTTTTGGATTTTACCTAGCAGCATTGTTACAGTTATATGTCTCAACACTTTGAAAAGAAGAGCTATTTCCCAAGTGTTGTAGTCAGCAGGATCTGGTGAGGGAATACATTAAATACAGAACACATAATTTACAAGGTTATTCAATGGTAATTCCCCAAAGAGTTAAATGCAAGCATATAAGAGATTAACCTCACACTAGAAGCCCAAAACATTCAACTGAGGGCTGGATTCCAGCAGTTTCCCACACAAGTCCAGGGCAATGTCCTTCTCGAATCCAGCCAATGGCCTAGAGCCCACGGCAACATCTCATGTTTTCATGTATTGAGGATCTGCACCAGGAAGGCCCAAAGACCAGTGCTGGAAGCCAGAAAAATCTATGCTCATGAGATGCAGGATATGTGCCACCAGGCTGAGGGATCCACACCGGAGCCAGGAAGTGATGCTCATGGTAAAGTTCAGAGCTGCCCTGATGAAAGCAGTAGCCGTTCCCAGCTACACCAAGGCCCTGAGCTCCTCCTCCAATGAGAACAGCCTCGTTTGCATCAGGAAAACCATCCACAGCAAGCTTCTCCTAGAAAATCAACAGCCCCCTCTTCCCCTCCAGTTTTCTTTTTATGGCTATTGGTAACAGTCTTCAGGTGGATCCTCTGTGCCCAGACCACGCTGGTTCAGTTCCACTGGGGGTTACAAGTTGACCATTAGTTTAATCCACCACAACAAGTCATATTGACCATTCAAACTTCAAATATTCTGAGAGCCAAAATTTCCTTTGCACCCTTAGATCTTCACAGTATTTCTAGGTGTGTCTATGAGAGTGCTTCCGGAGGAGATAGGCTTCGAGTCAGCAGGCTGAATAAAGAGGATCTGTACAGCGGTGTTGGTGGTGTCATCCTATAGATGGAAGGGCAGAGCAGCGAAAAGTTTGTTCTCTCTTTTTGGGCTGGACCACCTTTCTTCTCTTGCTTACTGTTCTCAGGACTTTAGCTCCCAGTTTGCTCGCATGGGCAGCACAATTCTCAGCCTCTTGACTCTAGGATCTTGGCTCTTCAGGCTCAAGACTTGTGCCAGAGCCCTCCTGATGGATAGGTCTGCAGCTTTAGAGTGGAGGTCATGTCATAAGGTCCTTTTCATATCTGGCTTTCCACCTTGGACTGAATTGAGCCACCAGATTCTCCCTCTCTGACACAGCAGTAATAGGACTTGTTGACCACAGCAATTTGAGTCAATCCCCCCTTCTCTCTGTCTCTGTCTCTCTCTCCCCACCTTTTCATGTTAAGAAAGAAAACAAGAATTTTTCTGGGCTCCCTCATATTTTCTCCCCTTCTGGAATACTGAACAATTAGTGGAGCATAATTAATCGATCATGATGTTCTTTTTTCACTTTTTATTATCACTCCCTTTATCTGTTCATCACGATATGGTGTGTATGAGTGTGTATTTTTGTATGCCAGATTTTATGATTTTCTCCTAAATTTCTATGTTTTGTTGTTTGATCTTTGTTTGTCTTGTGTCTCTTTGTATTTCTTCTACTTGTCTTTTATTCCTCTTCTTAAGTGTGGGATTAGTATAGCTTTTAACTCAGTCATGGTCTCTTACACATTGCTTCTGAGTTATTCCTTGTCTTTGCTTCCATCTCTATCAAAATTTAAACTGATGCAACATGGCTTTTATTCTTAATCTTTGATTTCTGTTTTCTTTTTTCCTGTGCTTCAGTTTGGTAATTTTCTAGTAACTTGGTTCCTTTTATTGAGGAAAGTTATAAGAAAATGTTATTTTTTTGGCATTTTCTTTATTACTGATATATCTTCATCGTACAGTTCTTAACTTGTCTTTCTCATTACTACAGTGGTACCTCGGTTTACAAACTTAATTAGTTTTATGGTTTGGGGGAAGGATGCCTGCATTTGTGTTTGAGTAGGAAAGATGGCTGTGGTTGTTTTTGTCACCAGATGTGGAGTTTGTGAACAGAAACAAAGTTTTGCAAAACAGCTTTGCTTGCAAACCAAATTGTTTGCAAACAGAGGTGTTTGTGAACAGAGATATTGCTGTAAGTTCTTGATTTTTTAAATAAGACACTTGGCAATCATGATTGATATTCATAATTTGACATCAAGTCAATGATTATGGTAGTGGTATGTACACTAGCTAAGTTTGAGGATTTCTGATGGTCTTGACAGAGCAGTCTGCATTGAATATAGAAGTTTATTATGAAGTAAATATATTCATCAAGTTTATAAAATAGTCTTCCATTTTCTGTAAGGATATCCAGTGAGCTAAATTTAATTATTGCTCTTTGATTTCCAATATTCTTATGTCATTACTTGGATAGCCACTTAATTGGCACTAAAACAATCATTTTATCCACATTGTTCATCTTTTCCCCTACATTTTAATATTATAGATTGTTTTGTCATATTCGATACTGTGTCGAGCTTCCTCTGATATCCTAAATTATTTATTTTTAATTTTCATTTGCATTCATTCAAGTTTGCAGTTTGTCCTCTAAAACTATGAGCATTTGAAAATATCACAGTACCATGTGTCTCAGGAACAGTTTCGCAATATCAGGACAGAATGCTTCACTACTGGAAAGTTCTTAGGTGTTTCTCCCACCGAACCCTTCTTCTACTCCTTGTGGCCCAAGCTTAGAAAAACACTGATCTGTTCCCCATCTCTAGAGTTTTCCTATCACCTAATGTCATTTACAAGGAATAATGTCCTTTGCTCATTTCGCAATACGCATTAGCTGTTCATTCGACTTTCCTGGTAGTTTACTCCTGTTTATTGCTTCACAGCATTATGCTGCATGGATGGATCACAATTTGCTGAAGTTTTCATCTCTGGAAGGAGTTTGGCTGCTGTCACTTATCAGTAGAGCTGACACTGTCATTCACACATGTATCGATGGAGTGGATTCTTCAACATGTGGGAGATCTGAGGTTACATACAGCCAGAATGCACTGGAGTGTAGTTCGAATAAACTCCCTTCTCAAGTTTGTTTACAAAGCAAATATGAATTCCATGGTTATTCTTGGAAATATCAAAATTTCGAATAGTGTGAGATCACTGGAATGACTGGGATAACTAACACATCAGTAAATCACTCAGAGTTTTAATAAGGAATCATAACAGCCTACAAACTATTCACTTGTTGCCGAATAGCTTAGGCTTTTATAGTTGAATGTGTGTAAAAAAAAAAAAAGCACCTTTTGGTACTGAAAAAACACACAAAAAATACAAAAGTAAAACAAATAATCTAAGAGTGGGAGGGTCAGAATTCAGCGTTACCACAGAATGTTATATAAAGTTTTCATTTCAAAAAATCTTTTGAGACATCCAAGTAAGGAGCAATTGTGACACATAAAAAGAAAAAAAATGTTTAACACAAACTTCATGGTAATCCCAGAGGTGAGTTTTTATAGAAAAATAAAAGCTTTGAAGAATTAAGACAACAGTGAAAGTATGTATGAATTGTAATATTTTTATGACTTCAAAGCTATTTGCTTCTAATTTCCTGCCTTCTACTACCATTGTTGTACTTGAAATTTTATTTGCTGTAGATGAAGGAAATTTTCAACATCAGAACCCCAGGATAAAAAGGTGAACATACAGAAACAAGTTAAATATCTTTTCAAGTGAATTCTTTGATACTGATAGATTCAATTCTTACAGTTAATTTATAGTGCTCCTTTCGATTCATTGAATATGAATTTATGGTCTTGGTCTTTTTGTGCTCGTATGATAATTTGAAAAGCAATATGAGTACTGCAATTCAATTAAACTTGTAAAATAGGCTTAAGTGTAAATTCACTGATCAAGAAAGATCAAAAACCAAAAAATGTGTTTATTAAGATAGTTAAATATTTCCTGTAATGATGTAAGAAATTTATGAATCTCATCCATTAAATGTCTAGTATCACAAAAGAGCAAATTGATTTCACTCATGGAAGAGTAAAGATCCTTTGAGTAAGGAAAGGTAAAACTTTAAAGAATAAAATATTTCTAATGTAGACCTCAGTGGATTTCATTAAAAGGTATAAAACAATTTTAATTGGAATAAAATAACTTCAATGATAATATGCCTGTTATTCATAGAACAGAGTTGGTGGTGGTATTCATTTGTACAATCCAATAATACTTTTTTTAAATTGAAGGAATTTTAACTATAAATTACAGTTCGAGTTTGGTAACTGAAATGGAAAAATAGATTTTAGTCATCTGAAAGTACAATTTTTCAAAATGCAGTGATCCACTATACTTAATTCTACTAGGGACAAAAAAAAGAGAAAGTTACAGACAAAGAAAGATGAACTTTACCTGTCTTGTCTATTATGGCTTTTCTCTACTCATACTTCTTTAATAATTCTAAAATATTATATGTCTTTGCTTATATCTGAAAGGGAATCCCACTCCATGGCAAAATTGTGAATTGCATCTTTATTTCTATTTTACTGTTCACAATTCAAGATTCTCAGCTTATTTTTAAAAGTATTCTTCTTCAAATCGTGAGCACTATTGTTAAAATGATGGTATGATTTAAAGATCTTCATCTGGCTCTTTTTGTTATGATGACATTGCCTTGCTTTATCTGTACAGATGTACAGTTACATCAGCTTGAAAGTCTTGCATGGCTTTGTCACGAAGCTCTTTAAGGCAGCCTTCACGTCCTTGTTGCGCAGGCTGTAGATCATGGGGTTCAGCATGGGGATCACCAGGGTGTAAAACACAGAAGCCATTTTATCAGTGTCCAGGGAGTGGTTGGCCCCGGGCTGTAAATACATGAACAGCAATGTCCCGTAGAAAACTGTGACAGCCATCATATGCGACCCACATGTAGAAAAGGCTTTCTTCCTCCCTTCTGAGGATTGCATCCTCAGAATAGACAGGACTATGTTGAAATAGGAAACTACAACTATAGTCACAGAAGAGATTAAATTTGTCCCTGCAGAGAGAAAGACCAGTATTTCTGTAACATAAGTATCAGAGCAGGATAATGTGATGAGAGGTGTAATATCACAGTAAAAATGATTGATGATATTGGAAGAACAAAAAGACAGGGAGAACACACAAAGTGTAAACACAATGGACGTGAAAAGGCCATAGAGGTAGGTGAGGGACACCAGCAGCAGGCAGACCCACCGAGACACCACCACCATGTAGAGCAGGGGGTTGCAGATGGCCACGTAGCGGTCGTAGGCCATCACGGCCAGCATGAAGGCCTCGGCCACAATGAAAACCAGGAATCCAGCCAGCTGGGTGGCACAGGCATAGTAGGAGATGGTTTTCTTCTGTGCTAAGAAGTTGCTCAGCATTTTCGGGGCGATGATGGTGGAGTTGCTGAAGTTGATGACAGCCAGATGTCGGAGGAAGAAGTACATGGGGGTCTGCAGTTGGGGGTCCACACTGGTGAGGGTGATGATGCCCAGGTTCCCCACCACAGTCACCACATAGATGCCCAGGAAGACAAGGAAGAGGGGGACCTGCAGCTCAGGGCGGTCTGAGATTCCTAAGAGGATGAACTCAGTGACCTGGGTCATGTTTCCAGGGCCCATGTACGTTTCAGAATTTCATCTGTTTAGGGAAGGAAAGAATAAGTGGTTCTAAACTTGAAGGTGTCACATTTAGTACTTCTTTTAGAAGGCATGACAAATCTTGGATGAGATTTTCTTGAATCATACATTAATCCCTTCCAGTTATAATGTCCTATTTCTTGGGTCATACTTAAAATTGCAATGGGGAACAGAATTAAGTATAAAAACTTAAGTACAAGATTGCAGAATATGTGATGTGAAGATTCACTTCATAATTATCATTGATTTTTAGGAGTGCTAGCTTGCTTTCATTGCAATTCCTAATGTATATATCAGCCAGGTTAGAGGAATCATGCCATCCTACCTAATCTTTTTTTTTTTCAGCTTTAATTGAGTTTATTGGTACATTTTAGGGATACAGTACAGTTACATTCGTTGTTGGGATCTTCTACCTCTACATGCCAAGTCTTGATTCTCATTTTTTCCCCTTACCCCTGCCCTTCCTTCACCCCCTCCTCCCCTCCCCATCTACAAACACTTTATTTCCATCTTTTCATTATCTCACATTTTTTTCTTTTCCCTTTTTACCCTTCCCCTACCCATCTCACCTTCCCTACCCCTTTAGCTCCCTTCTTCCCATTTCTAAATGTCAGTAATCTTATTAGGATCTTATGTATTATCTTTGAAAAGTTTTCATTGACTTCATGCTTTTGCTCAAGAATTCCAGGCACCGTCTTGCTCCACCATTTGCAATGCATGAATATTTCACTTCTGTATTTCAACATTCATGCTTGTTGATTGGTTTGTTCTTAAATTGTTTTTAATTAAATGAGAGAAAAATACATGGAGTTCTGCCTGCAGATAGGTTCTATATGCCCCGATTGTCTTTTCATTCTTTAAATGTTATATCAATGAAAATATTTCCAATTTTGTAATTCCTTGACATTATTCTTTCTAATAGTCCCTCCTACACATTCATTTAATTTCTTTTTGTTTTTCCCAGTAAAATTGCTGGGTTCAGCTATATATGTCCTATTGTATTAGGGTATTATTATTTATGACCATTGCAGTTTAATTTTTAAATTTAAAACTATATATCAATTTTTAATTCATTAGGTATTCTACTGGGGTTGTCACATTGTCAAATATTTTCTTTAATATAGGGCTATTAAACATATTTACTTTGTGCAGTTTCTGATGTAATTTCTAAATATATATATATATATATATATTGACACATAATCACACTTTACTATAATTCAGAAATCTCCTAAAGTTGTTTATTTTAGATTATTTCATGCCCATGCTTAATAGATGTCATTGTCCTGAGCACCTCAGGTCCTTATGCCTCCTGTAATCTATGTGGATTGACTTCCAGAGTCCACATTGTTTCATCATAAATATCCGAGTACCAAAACCTTATGTGTGTTGACATTTTCACTCAGTCTATGAATACAGCGTAGCAGTGCAGGAAAAAATGTACAAAACCAGTCTTATGCAGGACGAAAGAAAATGAAATGACAATATAGAATGAATTAGAGAAATAAGACCAAATTAACCACCAGCATTTTGGAATATGTAATGTGTTTCTTCCTGACAACACACATCATCCTTTCCCTTTGGTTTCTTTCATTGATTTACTTATATTTTTATCAATCAGACATTTACTGAATTTTCACTCTGTCCCTGATGACATCCAAGGTCCAAATAAATCTACTGTGCCTCACGGAACTTCTGTTTCATTTACAGGACACAAGTCTGTTACAGTACATTGCACTGAGATAATGCTGAGTTGTATTAAGTGTAGTAAGGAAATTAAACATGAGGATACATCAGGTCAGCATGGAGTAACCACACATGGGCTGTTTGGAAGGTCCTTTCTGTGAGGGAGATATATGAGGTAAACCTTAAAGCAAGAGAAGGAGCCAACTACACATTAAACCACAGCAAGAAGAGTGAGAGATTCCAGACCACAGGGATCTGAGGGAAATGCAACTCTGAAGTTAGCTTTCAAAGCGTAGGGTTAAGATATATGGAAAGTGAGAGTTTAATAGTGTCACAGAATAACAACGAGCAACTAGAAAAGTGGAAGATACACCCAATATTTTTGCAATAACGATTGAGGTGACCTTTAAACTACGGAAACCATGTTAAGATGGATGAATCTTGTGATCACCTCTGAGGTTTGAGCCTTTATTCTTGCAGTTATGAAGACAATGATTTATAGGAGTTGGAAAAAGATACAGCAGAGCACGTGCTGAAGTTTTTAAAAACATAAAATCACTCGATCAGCTGTTATGGGATTTCTGAGATAAGGTAATGTTAGGTAGATCAAAGTGGAGAGTAGATATTAAGAGAATGTGCTAAATGTGTTAAATCTGATAGGTTGGAGGTGAAGAAGATGTTCCCTTCCCCAAAATAAATCATATAATGAATTATGCGAGAGACAGACAGGGTTCTCTCAAGAAAGACTTTATCAGATTTTTGGCAATTAAATCATTGTCCACGACCTGTTTTGCACAGTGACACAGCGGTGGGGAACCTATGGCGCCCATGTAATTGCGTTTTTCTTTTAAGACAAATAGTGTTCATGTATGGGTTGTTATTTCTAAACTCAGGCTTCCATATGCAGGTTCAACTGCAGGGCGGGCACTTTGTGATAATGCAGTGGTTTTGGGGAGGTGTTTGGCCCTGTGTCTCTCAAATATTCACCCCCACTCCTGCCCTGGGTGGTTTATGACAGACAAATCAAATCGATGTTCGCTGCAGGCTGTGCTTCGGGCGCTTATGAAATATCCATTAAGTATTTAGGCAACTTAATACTACAATGGAAAGCATACCTGTGCCTCCGGAACTTCAATTTTTTTTTTTTTTAATTTTGGTACCAGGGATCGAACTTGGGACCTCGCACTTTTGAAGCAGGCGGTGGAACCACTGAGCTAAATCCCTGGCCCAGTGACCTCAATCTTAATAATTAAAAAACTTTTCATCTATTTCCAGTTTTTTCTCTCTTTAATCTCCCGATTTTTTTGTTCCGTATTGAATCTCCATGCTTTTTCATTGAAGGCCAACTCTCCTAATTTAGGTATTGTATTTTAAGTAAAAATAAAAAGGAAGCTCATTTTTTTGAACATTCTATTTTGGGTCATTTGAACTATGGCAAACCAGAAATGTTGATTTTCACTTTGGGTTTATTCTCGCTTTGAAAACATCATACAGGGTTCATCTTATCAAAGCAGAAATCCAGGCTTCTACAGTTGAAGTCTTCCACTTGGCCTAGGCAAATGGGTCTCCTCCAGTGGAAGCCGATCTTTTTAATAGCTCACCAAAGTTTGTTTCAATACATTCGCCTTAAAATGTGGGCCACCATACTTTACAATAAGATACGTGGTTTATCCAGACCTGTCATTAGTGGGAGGTAAATGATCTACTTACCTGTAGATCTTCAGATATAATTGACAATTGTTCTGTGAGGGTATCTAACAGTTTTATCAAAAGGGGCATAATTTTGGGTTAGGTATTCCTGTATACCCTTTCCTTTCCTCAGTGAAACAGTAAATGTGAAATTCTCATTCATATAATAGAGCAAGATAAAATCACGACACAAATGGATTCACTGCAAAAAAGTTAGATACTGTTGTGATTAGTTAAGGTGAGATGTAGACAGTTCTACTTCTCAAGTAGAAATGCCTGTATTCCCGAAACAGTTCAAATCATAAATAAATGTTAGAATATGTGTTATTTGTTTGATTATACATGTTTCATAGGAGCGTCCAAAATCAAAGCAGCGTACCTCCTTTTGAGACATGGTTTGGATTTTTTAAAGGCCATCACAAGAAAAATATCATCCACCCACCTCTCCCAGGGAATCCGCTCCAGGTTCCTGGTGGCAGTGTCCGCACAGCTGCAACTACGAGCGTGGAGGGCTCTATAAACCTCTGAGTCCCTCAGTCAGAAGCACGGGTGACTCGGGATCCACACATTTTCTGTTGCGTCCCTGGGGAAGTCACCACTGGGGACCTGTTCCCGAGCGAGATGCTCTTCTAGGAATTCAGCAAGACACAGAGTCCCTCTGGTTTTCATTTGATTGTTTAGTTCTTATGTGCGTGATGGGAATAAACGTCCCACGGATGGTAACCATCTGTGTTCCTTCAGCTCTTGACGGATCGCGACCTCACAGGTCTGTGCTGAGTTTTTACTTATTTTACCGTGCAGCCCCTTACATGTTTTCCGTCATGGAAAAATTAAGGATTAGCTTTAAAATAACCTTTCAATAATATGCCCATTGCTCATAACTGGTGTTCCTATATACATCAGGTTTTAAAAGCAACATACTGTTGACTTGCTTTGATGTGCTGACTCTTATCCTGTGTAAAATCCTGTGCACATTTCCTCAGTGCGGGACACTATCTCTTTAAGATGTACCGATAAACTCAACAAGACGAAAATAAAGAAATGAGAGAATATGCCTGCATAGAAGCTTTTACAGAAATGTTAGTAATTGTTGCAGATGTTCATAAGAACCAAAGCTTACAACAAGTCGAATGCCCACAAAAATATGATCCCCCCTAAACAAGATGGATTCTTCTAAGATAATGATGTTCATGTCTTCCAGTTTTTATGGATGTTTATATGGGCCCGAATTATGTGGGTTTCTTTTTCCTTAAACTTCAAAAATTCTTCCTCTCAAGAAGAGAGAAAAGGTGATTTTTATTTTGAATAAAAATAATTATCTTTCTCATATGTTCTCCAAATTAGCAAATTTTAAGATGAAGTGTGTGTGGAAATGGTGCTGTACCCTTCTTCATTGAGGAATAATGTTTACTTTGTATGTTATCGCTGGATTGTAAGCACCAAGGAGGATGTGGAATTCACAGGCTATGTGCCCTGTACCAGAGGGCGGAAGTGCCAGGAGGACCAGCCGGAGGTGTAATAAACGAGTCACTGAAAAGAGATGCAGATGTGATACTTTAAATAATAATATATTGACGTTAGAAAATTTAAAGTTGAGTGTAGAAGCA